GGCCCTGATTACAATAATATTTTAACTTCAACACCCCATACCGAAGGACCATTCGTGTTGGTTGTTCCAGATGAAATTCTCAAGTCTTCAACATCCAATAATCCTACAAAAAGTATTAAAAGTGGCAAGCCAAAAAAAAATTGGGGTAGATCATTAATGCCCATTATTGGTAATAATTTAACAAGAAATCTTGAAAATTCTCCAACTAAACCTGATGATGATTTAAACCAAAAAACTTTCACACCTATCAGAGCACCCACACCTATCAGAGCTTCTACACCTATCACACTTATGCAAATTGATGACGAATATTGTAACTTCGAAGAACGTAACGAACGTTACCTTACAATCGAGAAATTCAACTATACTATGAAATTATTAGACGAAAAAATCACTTCAATATATCGATTGTGCTGATGTATTAGTGAGCAACAACGATTAGATTCTCAAACGATACAGAGACTTATGGTGATCAACAAGCTTTCAGATGAATTTTGGAACGTAAGTTACTTTAATATATTTAGCAACTTTATTTGATCTCAAAATATTTAAAAATAACTGATTGTCTTTACAGTGCGCATATAAAAAGGTGTCCAAAGAACTTATTCTGAAGATCCTATTTCCCTCAGATACAGAGTACCATAAAGCTTTAGAGAAATACCTCGCTGAACATGCCAGTCATTATATTGAAAATCTCGGAAGAAATATGTGGGTTTCCCTATTTGAATCAAAGTTATTACCAGAAGTACGTGAAATCATTAATAATAATCAATAATAATAATAATAATAATATAATAATCCGAAATTATTTGATTATTAAGATAAAAAACAAATGCCAAAGCAAGCAAAATGATTTAGCAGCAAATATTCGAAATACTATATTTTCTAACTTCGGTGAGCAAAAGTTAGAATGTGTGGATAGCAGTGCGTCCTCTAAAAAAGTTGCCGAATGGAAAAAAAGTGCAAAAACGCGAGAAGCATATTGAGAACTTTTCGAAAATCAAGGTATTCTCACGAAAATAACCTCTTTTGTTTTCAAATCATACGAAGGCAGTGAGCTTCCTCCAGAACACTGGGTTTATGTACTCGCCATCTGCGATATTTTCTTAAATTCCAGTAGCCCTGGGATTAAATGCAACGATAAGTTAGTTTTAAAGAGAGTTGATTTTCTTATGGTAATAATAACGTTCATCAGTACTTTGAAGTTAAAAATTTTAAAATAATTCGCAAATATTAATGTATAATCAATTATCAGCAATCGATCAAAAATAAAGTTACTGTAACTCTGCGTTTGTTGCAGGAGTTAGCGGTGAAAGAAGATTCAGAACAAAGTTTAGAGATTTCGTCTATGATCAAAGAATCGAGCGATGCTGATGATGGTAATAGTAGTAGTTACGAAAAATTAGTAAGTCAAAGTTATTATCTGGTATATAATGATTTTTACACTGCGTTAATTTATTTTACTAATCTAAATCAAAAAAATTTACAGCTCAAGAGTTTAGATTCGAAATTCTCTTAACATTTGTCTAATTTCTTCTTATTACATTAATTTTCAGAATTCAGAAATTTGTATTTGAAATTCTTCAATTTTTTTTGAATATATTTTATTAAATAAATTACATATTAAATAAATTACTATATATAAAATTGGTTGTAATAATTGTGATGATCAGTAAAATTAAATATATTTGAATTATTTCAAATATTTATTTTTTAAAAATCTTTGCAGAATTTCGTTATTTGTTTTTTTATAATCTTCACAGAATTTCATTATTTATTTTTTAAAAATTTTCGCAGAATTTTGTTTCTTGAAATTTTGCACAGTTTTTGATGAATTTTTTTTCCAAAAACTGCCGACAGGATCACAGATCTGCGCAAAAATGTCACCTGCAGATCTGTGCAGATCTGCACCCCAAAAAATTTTCCGATGCAAAGGAATTAATCTCTGGAATTTCACTATGGGTTACTGCAGTGAATGAGATCTTCTTCTCTTCGAAAAAATCATGTACAACTGCCCACTTCGGCTCGTCAAGATATCTGCCAACTAAAAGTACTGCATCACATAATATGTATCGATTGCCATTCTCCTTTGCTTTCTTGTCACCCATTAACAATTTAATGATCATAGTTGTCTTATCTGAATCAGAACCACTGGTAAAAAAATGATTTATCCTACACATATCTTACACATATTGGATACTCAAAATGTAGAAAATCATACACAAATAATACACATATCATACACATATCGGGTACTAATATATATATCATATATATATCAGGTACCTGATAGGTATACTATATATATAATTACCTTATATGTGTATGATATGTGTATTATTTGTGTATGATTTTCTACATTTTGAGTACCTGATATATGTAAGATATGTGTAGGATATGTGTAGGATAGACCATTTTTTTACCAGTAAACTTCCTGCTACGACTAATCAAAAGGGCCATGATGAAGCAAACTCATTGCCTTGTCTTGAATCAGTCATGTACTCGTCCAAATTGTATACATAGAGATCCAATTGAATTTCATTCTAACTTAGTTTAAATACGATGTCGACATCAACACCAATTCCAGTTTATACTCCTTCAGAACCTACTGGACTGCCTCCTGCACACTTGGCCAATAAAGAAGATGATAAAAAGTTAGTTGGAATACTTAAGCTCATGCAAATTTATTGACTACCAGAGGTCGTTTAACTGTTGATTTAGAAATACAGGAGGCAAATAATCAAATCAAACATATTATTAATATATTAATGCAACGCTGTGAAGCAAAACATGAAGAACTTGGTATTACAAAAGATTTGTTAGCTTTCACACAGTATAAGATAAATGCATTTGATGAAACGTTTACTAATTTAGAATGACAATTAGTTATTATACGTGCTGCCAATGATAATTTCATAGAAGAAAACCATAACCTGCAAAGAGATTATGATACTATAGTAGAACTTCGTCGACGGGCTATAGGTGAACGTAATCAGGCACGATATGAACGTAATGTATTACAAGCAGATTATACTCAAGCAGTAAGAGATCGTAATGAGGCTCAAAATGCTGTGAATCGTGGTAATATCCTTCTAAATCATTGGCGGCTGAGGGCTACTCAGACTGGAGGACAACTTGTATTGGCTAATGCGCAACTTGGACAGGTTAATGCACAGTTAGCACATGCTAATAATAGGGTATGTTTTGGGATTCAGACATTAGGACGGCTTAAAAATAGACTTTTCCAACAGATAGCTACTCTTAGAATTCAGGTACAATGATTTCGGATTAGACAATTGAATCCTCCTCCAATTCCTCCTAACAATCCACAAAATACGATATGACTGCCGTTGGTATAGCTGCTCCCATATTTCATGGTCGAGAGGATGAAGACCTTAAGGTATTAATACTGTTGGTATTGATCTATTGGATGATGCCGGTGCGCCTCCTGGTCAAGTGAGAGCAATGGAGGTTCTTCGTAGCTGTATGAAAGATGAAGCGGCAAGGTAGTTTGATGCTAAACTTACTGGAAAAAATTGGAAACTTTCGAGTATTCGGTTAGTAGCTGCTGTAAATGGTGGAGCTGGTGCTACTCGTCGAGCATTTAGAGCTTTGGCTATTCCTGAAGTTGCTAATGGAATATATATTGGTACTTACTTACCTGGATCTGATGCTGCTACATATGCAGGGATTGCAGGTAATGCAGCAATAACTGTTGGAGATGCATTTTTCCCTTCACATGCTAATGTTGTTAGAACTAACTTTAAAGTTAAAAAGCAGTAGAGACGTGCAGGTGGACGTCCTACTAATCGTCCTGTTAATGGGTTGGAAAATCATGGAGGTCCATTTAATGCTGCTGTCCAGAATCAGCCTATAGTCTTACAGGGAATTCTCCTGGATCAAGCATTTATGCATATGCGCACAAATTTTCCAACCGTCGTGAAAGAAAGATTTCAGATACGATTTAGTAATCTTTATCAGGAACAAGGTGAACTTATTCGATCTTTCTATAAACGAGTTGAGAAGGCTGGGGGTATTGTAGGATATGATCAAATCATGGTTTCTTACCAGTTTTATAGAGCACTTTTACCAGAAAACGTCATTGAAGCTTCTAGAGTTGAGGTGTGTCTCTTGATGTTTTACTTGATAAATTAAGTGATCTTAAAAGATGAAAGGGTGAAATGTTCTATGGATTACAAAGATGTCAAGGCATTGAAAAGGCCAAAAATGATGAATTGGCTGGCTATATTCATCCTATGACTCCACATGAAGGTGCTGTAGTACAAAGGTCAACAGATGTTATTACTCAAGAATGATTATAAGAAATGCTTAAGGCTCAGGCTGAGGAACTTACTAAGAATTTCCAGGCACAGTTTAAACAATTACAAGCATCTAAGCCAGTTCGTAAGCCACTAGTCTATAGACAACAGATTAAACCTGTTCGACCAAAGCTACGGCTACACGTTGTCCAACAAGAAGATGATGATTATCCTGATCCCGATTGGGATAACTCATTACCTGATGTTGGTGATGATCCTGATGCTTCTGCTTGGACTTTGGATGATCATCAAAATGCTATTGATCTTATTATAGGATATAAACGTGAGATGTCTAAAATACTTACAAATTAACTTCAGAAGGCTAAAGATAGACGTGATGATTGGGAATTAGCCTGAGCAATGAGAAACCTTGATCTTAATGATGATGCTATAGACATTGATACTGCGAGTTTTGGTGAAAAAGTAGAATTGAGAGAAAAAGATGGTGATGTCTATATGGTTCGTGTTGGGTCAAAAAAAAAGTAGGTTCGAGTATCTCAAAACTTCTTAAGTCATCCCCAAATAAGACAGCAGTTAGCTCTCCTAGTGTGCCCTTAAGGGGCAAAGCAACCCCTGTTAAGATTCCTGTGAAAGTTACTGATAGTAAGTTTACACCTACAAAAGCTGTTACTAAGAATGACTTATTAAGCCTGTTAAGGTCTGCAGACTTTAGGAAATTACTCTGTGAAATTCTTCAGGAGGAGATGATATCTGCTAGAAAAGTTACAGAGATTCCAGAAGTTCAGGATTTGGCTGAAGAGGAACAAGAAGAGGATATCAGGGAAGATGATCCTATGAATATTGACATAGCTCATTTGGAGAATACTAAAGATCTTTTAGCACTGGATGGAGAGGTTAATGGGATAGCAATTCAGTGTTTAGCAGACACTTGTGCTAATGCATCTTTTATTCAGAAAGAAGCTGCTAAGGAATTAGGGTTGAATATCGACAAGAATATTACACACAACATATCTGGTGCTCCAGAAACAGGTAAAACATTCGGCATGGTAAAAGAAGTTTCAATCAAACTCACTCCTGAATGTATTATCACTGAGGACCTTGCAGTCTTAAGTGATTACAAGCATAGGGAAATTGGATTGAGCCAGATGTGTTTGAAATATTACAACTATAATGTCCATGAATCATGTAAACATGTTGCCCTTACCTGTGATGGGAAGAATGTTTTTATTTTGATAGTTCCTGATGCTAATCGAAAGGATAAAAAATAAGAACCTTTAATTCCTCTATTTTTTTTATTCCCAAAATTTGCGAATTAAGTCAGGGACATCCTTCTCCAACCGGTCAGCAGGTTCCCAAATGGCTTCTGTATCTGGGTATCACTCCCACTTAACTAGGTACTGGTCTTGACCTTTTTTAATGTGATGCCAAAGTATCTGCTCAGGAACAAATCTTTCAGGTTGTTCTCTTATCACAGAGTCGGGTGGAGGACGTTCATTTTCTGGAACAATTTGCAGCTCTTTTCAAGTGTATGCACATCTGGTTACATCTAATCATCCATGTGGTCCATCAAGAAGGTATGTAGGAGGCTGTTCGGGTGAGAGTATCATTTTTTTGATTACACGAATGTTTGGGTTCCATCTTATGTCTCCTGTACAGAATTTTCTGTGAAGTTTGTTACCAAGTACAGAAATAGGTTCATCTAACTTAATTCTGACATATGTTTCTTCAGAGAGGAGGTCTGTCTTTTTTGACACTTTGGGTGACCCTGTTGGAATGTCTGGAGGATTTCTTTGCCAGAGTTTATCTACTTTACTAACTACATCATGGAAATCTTCTGACCATTCCACAGATGTCACCCCAGTTTTCAACTCCTGTGCCACCATTCGTTTGAGAAGGGATTCTTGAATAGCTTGAATAGCTCTTTTAGCATATGATTGCTGTTTGTGTCTTCCTGACTCTCCAAACCTCATCATCACCCCTAGGCTGTTCAGGAAAAAATCATGTACCTGGTTGTTAGTGAATTTTGATCCAAAGTCTGTTTCTAGTCGATGTGTAGAAGGCTTGATACAATTTTTTCTGTAGATTTTAACAAATCCATTGAGAACTCTATTTGCATTCTTATCCTTTAGGGGTTCTGCATCTACTCTCTTTCCTGCAACTTCTACTACTACAAGAAAATAATGGAATCCTTTGGGGTCAACTAGCATCTCTGCGAGATCTGCCTGATACGTCACATTTGGTTTCCATACAACTACTCGTGGACGCTCTGATGACTTCTCCTTTAGGGGCTTTTTGTATAAGTTGTAATGCTCTTCACCTTTTAGAATTCGTGCTGATACTCCGGAGAGATTGTAGTACTTATAGTAATTCTTTAAGTGTGACATATTACAACAAATTAAAGGAAAGATTTCAGACTTCAAATCTCAAGATGACACGATTTTACTGTCTAAAGTGTAAAAAGGAAACTGAGACTGCTAGTTAAATACAAGATATGACCACAAATAGGCGTTATCGACTACATGGTGATTGTATAGTTTGTGGAATGCATAAGAATACTTTTACTATGGTAGACTGGGTGATTAAAAAGAAGTCTAAGGAGAAGAAGAAAGAA